GTGTAAAATGCAGAGATGTGATAAACAGCAGCACATTACAGCTGGAAAGAGACCGAGGGGATGAAAAGTGACTGGAGTTAGGAATTGCAGGTTAGAAGTCAAAAGGCCTACGTGAATTCTTGGACCACTTTCATCGATAATTTATCAGTTTGAGGGACATCACTTAACTCTGATTGTTCTTCTGCCACAAAGGCATGTCTGTATGCATATTTAGACTTTTACTTACTTATTTTTATTCAGTAAGTTTAGTGGTACATTTTAGATACACATTATAATAACACTCATCATTGGAATTTTTTACCTTTACATGGCATATCTTGGTTCTTATTTTTCTCCATTCCCTGCCCTCCCTTCAACCCCTCACTATTTAGAAAGGCTTTGTTTCTTTCTTTTTCTCATATTTTTTCCTTTCCCTTCTTTCCCCTACCCCTCCTACTTCCCCTTCCTCTTTGGACCTTTTCTTCCTATTTCACATTATCTATTATACATTTTGATCTTTATTTATACTTCCAGTTTCTCACATCAGAGAAACTATTAGGTATTTACACATGTGTCCTATCTGTTTCACTTAGGAGTATGGCCTCAATGCCTATCCATTTAGCTATAAATGTCTCTGTTTTCCATTCTTTATGGTTGAATAGTATTCCGCTTTACTAAAAATTTTTCTTTATCCAGTCTCCAGTTGATGCGCAATTGGGCTGTTTCCAAGTTTTAGCTATTACAAACTGTGCTGCTATAAACATGAGTGTGCATATATCACTGTAGTATGATTCTTTTAATTCTTTTGGGAAGATCCCCAGCAGAAGAATAGCTGGGTCAAATGGAACCTCTAGTCCTAGCTGTTTATCTCCATATTGATTTCCACAGTGGTTGCACCAGTCTGCACTCCCACCAGCAGTGGAGAAGGGTTCTTTTCTCTCCCCCACAACCCCACCAGCATTGCTTGATTTCTTAATAGCAGCCATTCTTTCTGGAGTGAGGTAGAATCTCAGCATTTTCAAATCTTTATTTGATGGCTACCTTTTTTCAAACCTTTATTTGATGGCTGATACCCCTGGACTTGTTGTGCTTTCAAGACCCTGTTGTGCCCTAAAGATTTCTAACCGAGGAACTAAAGTCCAGTTAGTGGCTCTCAACATTGTCTCAACTGTGTGACTCCAAAAGGTGGGACTTCATTGGCTCATAAGGAAATTTCAATAGGAGAAAATCTCATCAGTCCTGCAGACGATCTCAAAGGCAGCTCTGGGGACAACATAATACAGAAAAAGCGAAGAAGAGCTCATGAAGAAAAGTGAAGACTGAACAATTAAGAGCCAGCGAGGCAATAATCATTCCCATCATCTCCCTGCGCAGACACTGCCCGGAGACATGAGCGCTTGTTCTTAGGGAGCAATAAGGGTCTCACATGTTGATGCCACTTTGCAATTTATAGAATTTGCGCTTTCATGCACTTTCTCATAGCAATGTTAAGGCTGGGCAGTACTATTTTTTCCCATTTACAAAAGAAACCGAGGCCCACATAAGTTGAATAACCTTGCCTTAACCCCACACACAGTAAATAAGGCCAGAAATGAAAATTAGGTGTTTTGATTCTAGAGCTAGATCAGTTTCCACTATAAGGGAGAACTCTAGAATTTTAAAAAGTACATATGCTTTGTTCCTCTTTCTTTGTAAGCAAGAAGGCTCCTGAAAACCTTTAAGGTAAATAGGCGATTCAATTTTTAAAATGAAAGTATAACCTTAAATTTGCAAGTAATATAGTTTTTAAGTGTCCTTATGTTAAATGTTTAATGCACATATATTCATCCCACTAAACAGAACACAAAGGATACTTTCTAGCATACATCAGCACTATGCAAGTCACTTAGAGTGACATTCTCATGAAATAAAACATGCTGGTCACTCAGGTCCTGCCTGCTTCCTCTGACCACCCTCAGATCTCTCCTGGAGTTGTTAATTGTCTTTAGTAATAGAGAACTCCTCCCATCTCAGCTCCTCCCCTCCTCTCCTCAACCTGGAATTCTCACTACTGTAATCTCAGGAGGTGCTTACCAATGTCCAAGAAAATCAGAAAACAAACTTAGCAATACTCGAATACACAAACACACATACACACGTAGGCTGTATTATACACACATGAGCACACACACTAAGCGTCCCCAACAATGTATCCTTCCTTATGTCCCACTAGGTAGGAAAGGCTAAAACAGAGGGTGGAATTTTCATGAACTTGACAATGACTCTGCAAAATGGCAAGAACAAACTTCCAGACTGGAAGTTCTTAGACTTTACAAGTGATGTAGGTCTGGGGACCTCAGATTTAATTTTAGGTCTAAGTGTGACCTTGTGATTCAGAGAAGATTGTTTGACTTTGATTCTAAGTGTCTTCCTCTGGAAAAAGGGGATAAAAAAATAACACTCAGCAGTCATTATTGTGTGAAATGTGTGCTTCAAATTCTACAAAGTATTATGAAAAGGTTTATATTGTTAATTTGCAAAGTGCTGATACAAACATAGCCTTATTTCCCCCATATTTATTCTCTTTCAGAATGCAACAGTAAATCAATGCAAACTACACAAATATGAAAAGAGCTCCTTACTTATGTGAAGCTTCTATTTTTAATCTATACCCTTTTTTCATGCAGATAAATGCTAACAGTCAAATTCTCAAAAAAAATGTATATATTGCTTTGTTTTTTTGAGACAGGATATCTATGTAGTTCAGACTGCTATGGAACTCACTGTGTAGCCCGGGCTGGTATCGAACTCACAGTGGTCCTCCTGCCTCAGTCTCCCGAGTGCTGGGATTACAGGTGTGCGCCACCATGCCCGGCTTATATACGTATGTCTTCACAAACCTCTGTCAACTTTCACCATCCAGTGATTATCAGCTTTCCAAAGAAGGGAGAAGATGCATAGATATTTAAGCCTTTCCTCATTTATTTTTACCTGAGCTATAGAAACAATGTTTTCCTCATGTTCTTCACTAGAAACTGCTTAAAACAATGCAAGCTAAGCAAGAACTTCCGGGAAATTCTTTAGAAGCAAAGGAAAGTCAGGTTCCCTACCTAATGGGTACTGGCCGGAAGTGGACCCGAAGGCGGAGCAGCAGGGAGGCTCTGGCTACAAACCGCCCACTCCACGGCACGTTTTCTTTCCACCACACTTCACACGATGAAGTCAGAAGGCCTGGGAAGGGGAGTTCTGATGCAGGAAAGTGCAATGTGGCATCAGAAAGAGGCCCGGAGTAAATTTCAACTATTTGTCATCTACTGAGCCAATCAGGTAATTAAGGCAAGAGAAAAAAGGGGAGGGAATTAAGGACAGAATGAACTCAATACTGTACAGGTTTATTTTTCCCACTTTCTGAAAAATCAGCTTTCTGGTAGTGGATCCCATGCTTCCCCAGGGGAAACTCTTGCCATTCTTGGTCTAGCCGGTTCTGGTTATCCGAGCCCAGCCAGAACTGCATGCATCCACACAGTTACTGAAAGGGCATGGGAGCCACATTCATTCTGAGGAGGTGCCAGCAGGGACTTTGATCGGAACTGTTACGAATAATGGGGCTTGGTGGCTGGTTGAGCACCACTCCAACTTGCACGACAACAAAGTGAGAATGAAACCAAGCAAAGGAGAGAACGAGACTGCGTTAGACAGGCGTGGTGGTGCGTATCTGTAATTCCAGCACTCTGGGAGGCTGAGGCAGGAGATCACAAGTTTGAACTTAGGTGAGGCAATTTAAGTGACTTGGTGACTAAAGATGGCTGGGGAATGTAGCTCAGTGTGAAAGCCCTGAGTTCAATCCCCAGTGGTGATGAAGAGGAAGAAAAAAAAAGAACACACACATACACAAAGCAAGACTTGCCCAGAGTGAAGCCTATGCTACCTACTGTTTCCCTTGGTGTTAAAGCCAGTTACGTCACATTTTTTTGTCACCTGCAACCAAGAGTCCAGATCCTGAGATAGAATTAATTACCTAATTCCCACTAACAACTCAATGTTTGGGGATGATCAAATAATGAATAGCATAAATAATGAGTAACCATGTAGTATTAATTAAATAATGCAAAATCTCTTGCAATAGCAAAGAAATAATTTCTCAGTCAGCTACCTTGCGGTCTTTGGCAAAAGGAAAAAAAAAAAGTGAAACATTCAATTTGCTGTGGTTTAAGTCTCTGAGGTGCTGATTCATCTCTCAGCAAACATCCCTCAGAAATAAACCTCAGGTCTTCACAGAGCACTTCTCAGCAAAACTAAATGTCACAGACACAAGAAGGCTTCCACTAAGAGCAGAAGGCTGTCACGTTCGTGCATCATTTCCAACGCACAGAGATGCATCTGGCTGCGGTCTCATATTAATTAGCTGCTCATAAGTGAGGACAGGAAAAGACAATGACAAGCAGCCATTTAGACTTAAGAAGAATGACTGGACAGAAGGGAAAGCAAGCCTAAGTGTACATGGTAAGGCTAGGGCAGGTGTTTCACTCCATGTGCTTGTTTGGGAAGCTTCAATAGAAACAAAGACAGGACAGAAACGAGCACCTGGAGTCTGCAGTTATTAGATGAAATCATTCTGTATGAAAAACACACCTTAAATCACAGACTGGATTCCCAATATTAAAGGTTCACACACACACACGCACAGAGAAAAGGCAGACTTGATGTCTAATAAAAAAATTCTGTTCTGGGTCAGGCAAATTAAATTTATAAAGACACACAATTATTTTTCTAAGTCACTGAAAAACTCAAGGAACAAAAACAACCTGGAGTCTTTTGGACTGGCTGATCTCTGCTTGCAATTTCAACTTGTGCCTCTAAAATATTGCTCAGTGGAAAAATCTCCAGGTAGCTTTTTGATAAGGCATTATGCCAGTTCATTATGGACAGATTATATCAGGAATATTTTTGAAGAACTTCCCCATGTGGCTGGAAGGTTAACCGTGCAAGTCGGTGGCACATGAGAAGGCATGTGCCGAGGGAACACCTACGCAGACAATTACCTTCCACTGCTCTTTTGAAGAAGACTTTGCAGCTGCCGCAGGTCACCACCCCATAGTGACATCCAGAAGCCTCGTCGCCACACACCAGGCATATTTTGGAAGGTCTTGAGGATCCAGTAGAAACACTTCGTAAAGTAGAGCTGGGGAAAGAAACCGAGATTTACATAACCACACTGGGAGAGCACATCTGACACCCTGTTGGGCGCAGCTGAGAATCAGTCAATAACCACAGATCTAAAGGTGAACTGGGCATGGCAAGATCACATAGTAGGTGACTCAGTAGAACGAAGATTAAAGCCTTATCGATGGAGTAATGCTATCAAGATTGGTGTAGCGAAACTTCCTGAGGACTGAGCAATGAAAATCGTGCATAGGCATTTCCTCACCTTTTCCTATTTTTGAGACCCCCCCCAAAAAAGATCCAAAACAAACAAAAAAATCTCCAATATCAGCACTCTTGGAAGGAAAATGAGAAAAATCTTCAATCACACCATCGTGGTAGTACTTGCTGCCCTCTGGTTGTAAATCAACGAGTTATTACAATCCTTGTCAATACTCAGAGTCAGACTGTATCTCTCAATTATGCCAGATTCTTTTGGGGGGAGCACCAGTGATCGAACTCAGGTCCTTGCACTTGCAAGACAGGTGGCGGAACCACTGAGCTAAATCCCTGGCCCAGTTATGCCAGATTCTAAAAAATCCCCCTTCTAAAACAATTCACTAAATAAAAAATTCATTTCTTGGCTTGATTCCCGCAGTCCTCCTCCTCTAAGCTTTTGTGGTTTTTCCACACTACCTTTCCTAGGTGTGTTTGATGCATTTCATTTTGCTCACTAATTTGAAAGAAGGGACACTATCAATATTAAAACAAAAAGTCATATATGGTAAACCATGCATCTTTCAAGGTAAGAAACTGCAAGATTCTGGGAAATATTATTATTATTATTATTATTATTATTATTATTATTATTATTATTATTATTATTGGTGGGGACAAAAGTAACTAAGCCACAATTTCTTCAAATTCCCTTTAAGAGAAATCTTCCCATTTTATACATTACTTTGTTCATTCAGGGCATGTTACAAACAAAATGTTTTCAATTCTAATAAGTCCCTGCATAGATGATGTGTATACCAGGGCATGTAAAGGATCTGTCTTATTCATTCACAGACCCCATATACATAGTGAATATTTACCTGTATCTGCAAGGTACTGAGGAGATTGATGTAAAAACTCAGGCCTCTGCCCCAGAGTTAGTGCATACATAGATGTCATGCTGTGGGGCAGGGAGATACGAGGTGACACTGTGGGTTCAGCCACCCGAAACTCACCTAGATGACAGGTGAATGAGTTTAAGCGTGATTAGCCGGACAAAGCGGGAGGGAGGTGGAGGGGTAGCAGAATGTACAGCAGCTCTGAAAAACGCAAACTGGAGACCCTCAGCAAATGGGTACAGCTATACGTGCCAGTGCGACGGTCACCTCTGGTCAGTGCTCCTGTCTCCACGGGAAACAGCAGCCACGTGGGAAAAGACCCACAGGAAAATACAGCAATGGGCCCAAATCATTAAGGCATGGTGTCCACTTCTGTTCTTCGGATGAGTTAAAAATGTAGTGAAGTCATACGTAATTTGCAAAATGATTCTAACTGTCCAAGCGACCCTCTCACCGAAAATAGCTGGAGGGACAAACTATTCGGCTGCTCAGAGCACTGTACTGTGACTGCCTTACTAGAAAATGACTGCTTAAATCAAGGACTGAAACAATGTTCTCCAAAGTTGTTTCTCCTCCTGAGAAAAGTGCTCTTTATTATTTTTATTCGTGTCCTTTGACTTCTTTATAGCATTCAAAACATTCCATTTCCACACCAGTGACTTCTCCAGCATATTAGCCGACAAAACTCAGCCCACACTTGGGCTGACTCAGTGTACACTTCAGAGAAATGCCGCGACTTCGTAAATATTTAGAACATAATGTAAAATCATCACTAAAATGTAATTGCTTTCTCGCAATGGCAAGTATATATAGGGCTTTTATTCCACATTTTCATGGGCCTTGGTCCTTATCCCAATACTTAGCTCTTAGCTTCTTAGCTCAAAAGCTCTCTGGCTGTTCCACTTCAGTTTCTGGAACCCTGCTCGTTTTCTATCCAAACTTACGTTTCTTGGTGATCTCACCTAGTATCTTGGCTGTAAAACCACTACAATGCTGAAGACTTCACAGTGTTTATCGCCAGCCCCTCCCCGGAAGCACACACTTATAGATACATGATTGCACACCTGTCATCCCTATTTGGACATCCAGTATATGCTGCAAAGTCACTACACCAAAAACTATGATGATCTTCTTCTGCCTCTAAATCTCCTCTTTTCTCAGGTCCCGGCCCCCTCTGCTTTCTCTCCCCCTGCTTCCTGGCCAGCAGAAGGCAAAAAGATTTCCTCCAGGCTGAGCCAAAAGGACCACGAACTGACAGCCCTGCAACTGTGAGGCTAAATTATCCATTTACTCTGTTAAGCTGACTACCTCAGGTATGTAGCCACAGCTGACAGGCACTACCTTAGCACCCAGTAAACACTTGAGCAAAGGAGGGATCAGAGAATTAGAATCATCACCAACAGTCACCACCGTCCCACCCTGTCACTTCTAATGTCCCACTGCAATCCTGTTGTAAAGCAATGCGATTCCTTTTTAAGCATCTGGAGAGTAACAAGGATGTAGCTGAATCAAACTGAGACGTCAAGAAGAAAATCAACATTAAAAAGATGCATTATGAAATCTAGATTACAACAATTAATCTGTTTACTTTCCAGATCAAACTAAACTAATTCTGCCTCCCTGTGTTCACTAAGATCTTTCAATGACAAAACAGCAAACTTGCCTCGAGTGCCTTTGGGTTTTCTACCGTTTACAACGTCTCTGCTATTTCTCAGGCTCTTTCTCACCTCCTTGATCACTAACTTTGGGGCTCCACCTTGGCCCCATTTTGTGTCATTCCTACACTCTCTCCCTCAATGATTTCTTGAGCTATCTCAGTTTCTAGGGGCTCACCTGTGAATGACTGTCAAAATCTCTATCAATGACCCCTCCTCCTATTCTAATCTCATGTTATCCCCTGTTATATACAACCTCCTTGACTCTCCCTTCTCTTAGCTTCTTAAATATACCACATTAAACGTGGCATTTACTTTCTTTTATCCAGATTTCAATATTCTGGAGAGTGTGACAATCTGCCAATTACCCAGACTAACCCCTATACAGCTGTATATGTGTTGGAATGTGTTCCAATACCCAAGTGGATGCCTGCAATCAGGATTCACACCAAACCTCCTAGATACTACGCTTTCTCCTGTAGTGTTCATCTGTCCTCTGATGGTTTATGTCTTTTGCAACACTACTCTAGGTTTGGGGGCCATTATTAAGTAAAATAAGGGATACCTGAACACAAGCACTGAGTTACTAGGATGGTCGATCTGGAAACTGAGATGCCTACTGACAAATGAGGGGTACTGTATACTGTGTGGATACACTGGACGAAGGACTGAGCATAACCCAGGAAGAATAGAGATGTCATTGTTCTGTTTAGAATAGTATGCAATTTAAACCTTACTGTTATTCTTGGAATTTTCCACTCAATATTTTCAGTCCTGAAAAGAAACGAAACCATGGCCAAGCAAGAGGGCAGAGGAGTAGAGACTCCTGTATTCTTCTTCAACTATTCAAGCTAAACAATCACCAAGTCCTGCTTGTTTCAGCTTTGCAATTTCACATGACTTCTCTGCACCTTCCCAGGTTGGTAATCTTGGTTCAAGCCCTGGTACTTCATAAGGGTCCTCACCTATCTCTTGCCTCTCCTCCCTCTAATTCATTCTTTAGTGACTGACAAATTCAACAATGACTGGTGACTATTACTTTCACTCTGAGATCTTCAACTGTCCATACTGGATGGCCTTTCCCTACAGTTAACCTTCTCTGGCATGGTCTCCCCATAATGTCTGGCCTTATGTCCAGCATGTGTCAACATTCCTGTTTAAGTGTCTGGTCGACCACTATTTACACATCTGAGCATTTCCTCTCCCCATTCCCACCCTCAGGGAAAGCCTATCCATCCTTAAAGGGCCCAAAGTCTTCCTGGCGAGCCATTCTCCCTTCTCTTCCATTGCTCGGCATTTTGTGATGCTGTCCTTCCACAAATGCCATTTGTGACCTTACATTAGTGACCTGTGCACATATCCTAACCCCTCAAGGGCAAAAAGCCTTATCATATGGATCTCTGCTTCCACTGCCATTAGCCATGTGGTGGTACTGTTACTGAATCAATGAAATCACACCCATAATCTCATCATAGTAGAACACAAATTACAGAGGGCAATGTTACAGAAGGTAAACTCATAAGGTCAAGGTTACAGGTTCAATTCCCATACAGTTCATTGAGCTCTGTACAGAGGGGAAAAAACCCAGGGACACAGATTCCTGTCAAAAGCTCAGCCAGCTATCTCACAAACATGTGCACTATGAAAACCAAGGACAGCACCCAAAGTGTGAGTAGGTTTGGAAAACTCTGTACTGGTGCCTTATCGTGTACCTTTGAAACTGAACAATGGCATGTGCTAGGGGGGTTATAAACATTCAGTTTTAAGAAATACACTTATGTCTCTTACCAGAGAAGAAAGGAGGGAGAGGGAGGGAACAGGGACAGACCCTGAACTCGTTTCTTAGACACTGAGTGTGTTACCAAATGTAACGCACACGCCGTGTGCTTTCATTCTTCATCCCTCGAGAACAATCAATTTGCTGAGCTTCCCACACTGCAGCGCCAAACATGCAGAGGTCAAAAGCAGCAAAAGAGGCTAAAGAAAGGAGGCCTGGGTTCTAGTTCTAGCTCATGCATTACTGGTGAAACCTTAGCAAACAAAACCCACTTTGTTGAGTCATAATTGTCACAGTAAAATACAGAGGCAGAAATGATAATCTCCAAGACTCTTTCCAAGACAGCATTTAAAGAGACAGATAGTTACAAAAGATAAATAGGAAAGCCCAATTCAAACTGAGTTTCAGACTCAAATTAAAGACAGTATATTATAGCTAAGTGTGGTGGTGTTTGCCTGTAATCCCAGCACTTAGGGAGGCTGAAGCAGGAGGG